CTTGCAGTAGGAGAGGGCTGTGTAAGGCTCTCCTTGCAGTAGGAGAGGGCTGTGTGAGGCTCTCCTTGCAGTAGGAGAGGGCTGTGTAAGGCTCTTGCAGCAGGAGAGGGCTGTGTGAGGTTCTCCTGGCAGTAGGAGAGGGCTGTGTAAGGCTCTCCTTGCAGTAGGAGAGGGCTGTGTGAGGTTCTCCTTGCAGTAGGAGAGGCTGCCAGGGTGGCACCAGGACTTCAGCTACGAGAGGCAGGGGGCGAGGAAAAGCTCAAGGAAGGCCAGATGCAGAATTGCCATCATTACCAGAAGAGACTACAGGATTTTACACACTATACAAACAGCACTGAAGAAGGTATCAAGCTGATACTACCTATGAAGATAAGCCTATAAAATGCCAAGACTAAGAAAAGAAAGCACATGGAACCTGTTTACATCAGCTGCACATACAAAAGCCAGTCAAGAGAGTTCACTTCCTAACAAATTACAGTGCACCAGAAATAGGAGATCCCTCCTCTCCCATGGAAACACAGTGCATGGATTTCTTTTTCATGTGCAAAGTCCTGCTTAATGTATGTTTAAAATTTATATTCATAGATAGATGCAGGAATGGGAAACACGCTGAGGCCGCCCTTGAGGCTCTGGGTGTGTTTGTGCATCACAGAGCCATCCCAGCCAGGCACACTCACAGCTCCTCAGCTCTGGGCCCAGGGAGCCAGCACAACCTCTGCAATCACAGAACTCTTCAGCTGGAAGGAACCTTTAAAGCTCAGCTGGTCCAACCCTCCTGTAATAAACAGGGACATCTCCCACTAGATCAGGGTGTCTCAGGGCCCCATCCAACCTGACCTTGAATGTTTCCAGGGATGAGACACCTACCAGCTCCCTGGACAGCCTGTGCCAGCGTTTTACCACCCCCACTGTAAACATTTCATTGTTGTATCTAAGTCAGCCCTCCTTCAGTTTAAAACCATTACCCTGGATCCTGTCACTACAGGTCCTACTAAAAGGTCTGTTCTCATCTTTCTTATTAGCTCTCTTAAAGAAATTGAAAGGATTAAATCCATCTTGATCACCTAACAGAGTCCTTCAGTCTTCTATATCCCCAAAGCAAAGGCAAATTTTAGTACAATAAGTAGACCCCCAAAAAATTGCCCAAACTTTTCCCTCCTTATGACTTGTGGGAGAGCAGGATGGCACCAGAAATTAGTTAAATGGTGCAATATCACATCAGCTGTGATTTAAATACTGAATTGACTGCAGTGCTATGCATGGCATGAGCTGTCAGACCTTCCTCTGACCATCCACCTTTGGCACACCTGGCACAGCAAAACTAAAGTGGGATTTGCATCAACTGTTCTCTCCTGTTCTACATACTTGAGAGACATTCTACTTGAGAGACATTTACAAACATTTGAGCCAGACAGAACCACTGCAAGTAGAAAACTTGACCAGAATTTACTCTGGGAGAAGTCACCCACAAAGGACGTCACCACCAAAAAGTGCTGAAATTCTGCAGGAGCTTTGTCAGCAGTGATGTTTGTCCTGGAAATGGCTTTTAGGAAGAGAGCAGGTATTGGGGATGGGGCTGGGTGTGGAATTCCTGAGTTCTGGGCAGGAATATCCACCCAAGGAGCACCTTCCAGGAGTGCTCAGGTTTCAAACAGCCCCCAGCTCCCCAACACCTCCTTCTTGCCATGCCCTGCTCCTCCACACCCACGTGAGAGCCTGGGCAGCCGGGCTGTGACCCCAGCAGGGACTGATCCAGGTTAAAAATAACCTTTTTGGCAGCTTATTTTTAGCCCAGCTCAGGGCCTGCAGCCAGCTCAGTGCAGCTGCCCCAGCTGAGGCAGGGAAGGGGGAAATTGTTGAGGACAGCTGGAATCAGCATCCAGGTTATGGTGTTAAGCAAAGGATCTTATTCTACTAATACAAATAATAATTAAAAACCTAGCAGTTGCTTCACTTGCAAAACCAGTTTGGAGAAGTTACAGAAGTTTCTAAGAGTTAGTTCTGAAAATTAGTGATTTGGCATTACCAGTAACATTTAAAAACAATAATTAAGATTTGGGTTTGTGCTGCAGCAGAGAACTGCAGCTTACAGGGAATCAAAAACCAAACAGGAGCTGCAGCATCCTAAAAAGCTGTGTTAGGGCTAACAGCTAGGAAAAGGGCTTGGGAATAACTCCTTATAGCAAAGAGGAGCTGCGTGGCAGTGGAAAACAGGGCTCCTTGGACTGGGATAAACCAGCAGAGGGCAATCTCGGCTGTCGCCAGTGTCCCAGCGGAACCGCCGCTGCCGCGGTCACACGGGGATTGAACAAACCTGTCACAAACCTGTGCCAGGTGGGGGCTTGGGGGAGGCCCAGCTACACCAAAGGCTCTGTGCGTGATCCTGGACATTTGTCTTAGCACAGTCTGCTGACTTATCTCAATAGAGCAGTGTCCTGGGGTGACTTTATGATGCTCGAATCCCCAATTGTCTGTTCTGTTTATGCTGATATTATATTCTATAATACTATACTATATCCTATCTGCTATATTATATTCTGAGGATGAAACACAGGAATATAAACAGTGGCAGAGACATGCAGATGAATGTGACAGTATTCACAGGGGTCTTAGGATGAGGGAAGAGATGAGCATCTGGCTCCATGTTTCAGAAGGCTTGATTTATTATTTCATTATATATATTACATTAAAACTACACTAAAAGAATAGAAAAAAGGATTTTATCAGGCTAGCTAAGAATGATAGCAAAGGTTTGTGGCTCGGGCTCTGTGTCTGAGACAGCTGGGCTGTGATTGGCCATTAATTAGAAACAACCACATGACACCAATCACAGATGCACCTGTTGCATTCCACAGCAGCAGATAATCAATGTTTGCATTTTGTTCCTGAGGCCTCTCAGCTTCTCAGGAGGAAAAATCCTAAGGAAAGGATTTTCCATAAAAGATGTCTGTGACAGGTGAGGTGGGACAGGTGAGTCCCGGAGCCCTTCACAGTCCTGCACAGGCTACCATTATTATTTGTGTTACATTTAAGTAATACCCCTGTGTGTCCAGGAATTGAACTGAAATCCTAGCAGTAATTAATGGCAGGACAGTAATGACAGAACTATGCTGAACAAACCAGGGTAAACATCCTGAGGAGATGGAGCTGCTGATTTGCATTTACCAGCTCACTTCCCACACTACTGCCTGCTGTGCTCTTACACACCACACCAAAGAAATACACCTGGAATTGGGGTTTTCCCCTCTATTACGAAATAAAAAGCAGGTGCAGCAGATTGCTCAGGAAAGGAACACTTCCCTGAGGCCACAGGCACTGGAGAGCCCCGGGTGCCCCAGGCAGCACCAGGAGATGCAGCTGGTGAGGGACATGGGGCTGTGCCCAGTGACACCACAGCTCCCAGCTGAGCTCCTGCCCCCGGGTATTGGCTTGCAGGAAGCTTCCTCCACCCAAATCTTCTTTGAAGGATGGCCTGCAATGTGTCTTTCTAATCTTACTTCAAGACTCTAAAGTTAAGGGGCAGTGTAAACTCAGAGCAAGGCATCATATTGGTGCTTCAGCCAGTCTGAGGCTCCCCTGAGCTGGTCCTGATGCGAGCTGACACCACAAAGAGTGCAGAAAGCTGGGGAGGGGAGCTTTTCTTGAATTTCTCTCCCCTCCTGCTACAAGGGTTTGGAATTTACCCCGTGCTCACAGAGGACCTGGAGTTTCTGATGACTCAGCCACATCCGCTGCTGCTGCAGAGAGCTGAACTGCAATGAAGGAGCAATCAGAAGTGAAAGAAAGAGATCCCCATTGAAACACACTTATCTGAAGTCAATTGCACTGTGATCTTTGTAATCTGTTGATAAGATTTTTCTACCCATGTACTTTTCCATTGTTACAGCAGGTCTGGTATTAATATTTACCTTGGCAGAAGCTACCAGTGTTCTTCCTAGACTGAAGTCCACCAGTTGCTGGGACATCTCAGGATTTACAGGAACCAGCTCAACCTGAGAACTCATCTAACAGATCTGTCCACAGGCCTGGATTACCGTGGGCTGAAAAAGTCCTGGAGAACAACTGGATCTTTTGTTTCTTATGAAATCTAATGTATGCTAGCACAGAGAAGACAGCAGGAGACCAAGTGACTCTACTAAAACACAGAATGTAGGGGATCACACCTTGAAAGTTGTTTTCATAAAGTTGCCAAATCATCAGTTTTTTAAATTCCTGTTGGAAACTACGGATGCTCATTATAAAACACCCAGCCCAGGGTATTTTCCAAAACCACGTGCACACACACACCCCTCACCTCTCCTGAAACTGCTCAGCCAAGAAAATACTCCCTCACCATTACTAGAGGCTATGTTGAGCAAGTTCTTCTGATTAATTGGTCCTAAACCTGTTTCTAAATGCCAGGAAACACGAACACAGTGACGCTCAGCAGGAGTTATAAAACCCTCCAGCCTGGGCTCTCTTGGTTTTGTCAGACTCGACAGAAACCAAAATTTGCATTGAGCCCTCTTTGGAAAACATCTCTGAGTTTGAGAGTGACAGCCCTTAAAAATCTCTCTC